CTGGGCGGCTTACAACAAACTAAAATCAGAAATACATAATTAAAAGTTATAAAAACCAGACTTACAAAGATAAATAATTAATACAATTGTTTTGGTATGAATTATGCTTTATTGTTATTTTAAAGATAAGTTGTGCACCATAAAGTTTGTGAATGATAGAATAGTGATCCTGATCTGTCATGCAGAGTTTGTGAGCTGTATAGATTTTGGGGAGGGAGTTCACAGGAAAGACAAGACTGCAGTAAGATAATTTGTTGTGCTAGCCTGAATGCTGTCAAGGGTGCTTACCTACCAACTGACTGTAGTGAGTACAGAACCTTCATCTCCCTTCTGAGGTATTCTATTAACAGTTCAGCATTAAAAATCTCATTCATTTTCCATTTTGCAAAATATCTATTATTTTATTACCTGTGATATCTTGGAAAAACTAAGATCAAGTTTATGGAAAATAAGTTAATTCATACTCTTAAAAAAAAATGAGTTCTTGAGTCAGCTTTATTGAAGATGCAGCCAAAGCAAACAATAGTAGACTGCATTGGTTTAAATCAGTCAGGGGCTCTGAAGACTTTCATAGTATTGAAAGTTCATTAATATGAACTCATCTCATTTTTAAATCAGATTTGGCAAGAAAAAAGAAGATAAAGGTGTAAAAAGTGAACAGAAGGGGAACTCCAAGCATGGTACACTCAGAGAAGAAGACCTAGAAAAGATGAAGGAGGAACGGGAAAGGTGAGCTGAGTGTGTGTGTGTTTATTTCCTGGTGTTCAGTGGAAAGGAAGGCTGAGCAAAGGCCGGGGAAGGTACTCAAGAATGTCCATCATTCTTGATGGAAAGGTTATTTCAAACAGCATCTATGTGTAAAAGCTGTCAGTGTGTATTGGGTAAGCTGAATTAAAAATGTACATGAGGGCTACTTTCACTTTTTAAAAATGAATATAGAGGAAATTGTTTTATTTAAGAATATATTGGAAAAGTCATGTAGAAAAAAAGTCATGTAAATACCGGGTTATAGCATAAGTTGCATACAGAATCATATTGAGAAAATGTACATCCCAAAATAAGATATAAAAAATAAGATGTAATGATTTCACGTTCTATATTTTTCCTGAAACTTTACTGCTAATAACTGTGTGAAGAAATGAAATAATATATGAGTCCCTGTGGCCGTGATGCAGCCCACATTTCCACTGATCTCTTGTCTATCGTGCGCAGCTTGTGCCCTGCATTTGGTTTAGCTGGAAACACAAAAAGCCTGATGTCACTTGTTAAATTCAGCACCTTGCTGTTTATTATTATTTATAAAATGTTTATCCGTATAAAAATATACGCGACATTAGGCAAGTGATAAAATCAGCTAAGAGTATCCAACCGTGACAATAATTGTTCTCATACCAAAGCTCCATCCCCAGTATCCTCTATGGCAAAAATGGTGGTCTGTCTATGTGCTTAGCCAGAGCTTGTATTGGTGGCGCTGAAATCTCTGTCGCTGGCAATTGTCAGGTGCGTGTCTTTCATTTTTATGGAAGCTCATGTTCATTGTTGGGATCCTGGCAAGCTACAAAGCAGGCGTACCATCTGTTAAAGGGCCACTGCCATTTGTTAAAACGTTGGCAGACTTCTGGGAATGGTCCCGTCTGTTTCTAGGGTTAATGTTCCAATTGGACAGACGTGGAGTAATTGTTGTTAATATTTCTTGTAGTGGTAAATTCTCTTTCAAAATAGAATATATCCCCTGGAGTGACAGTTAATTGATAAGAACCTATTAAAGATACTTGGTTCCATGCCTTTATAATTCTGGTTTATCTTGTCTAATAATTATTCACCTTTTGACCTGGAATCATTTGAGACCGAAATGGGGAACAGCAGGTGTGCTTAGAAGCTGATGAACCTCTATGATATTTTTAACTCACATATTTTATTTTTATCCTACAATTAACAAGAAAAGAAATACCATTTTTCCCCTGGACAGTTTTGTATCTTTTATTTCTCCTTTACAGAAAAAATAGATAACATGAATCCCAAAGGAAAGCTTAAATTATACCATTTAGACAAGGAGATCATTTCTGTTTCCTCTGTCATTTTTATGTAACATATTAATGTGTCATCTTTCTGAATACAGTGCTGGTCAGTATTGCCTAGAAGAAGCCTTTTGTTTTAGCAAGCATGTCACAAGTATGTTCCAATGTATTGCACCCTTTGGCTACAGCTGCTAATATAAATATAGCTCCACTGTTTTACTGCTATTTTATTGAGTGAGACGACTGCTTGGGAAAGGCAGCAGAAATGCAGACCTGATCAGTCATGACTACAACAGTAGACTGTCTAGTTTCCCATTCAGATGATTCTTAAAGCCCTCCTGCTTCAGCCATGCATACCGTAAATTAATCCCCATGGCTTACAGCAGGGATAGGCTGCCTGGTCCCTCCAGATGTTTTGGACTACTGTTTTCACAACACCTTGCTATTGGCCATGCTGGCTAAAAGTCCAAATATCTGGAGGGCAAAAGGCTGCCTATTCCTTGTTTACAACTATATCAGGTTGCCTGCTCATATGGTACTTTTGTGTTTAAAATGCATCTTCAGGTCTTTACGGGGGGGAGGAGTGAGTTGATCTCTACAAAAGTGTCATCCACATTAATCCTTTTTATTCTTAAAATAGACAGTTTCACCTTTTTAAATAACCTTTTTTGTTTTTGTAATTTTCCAGTGTAAACATTCAGGTAACATTCTCCAACTTTAGATCATGTCTCCACTGCCCTGTGATAAAAACCATATCCAATGTGTGCCCTCCATTGTAAGTCAGGCCAGAGATGACTTGGGTTAGGTCCAGGGTGGCCATGAATGGCAGATTTAAGTCCCCCAGAACCATAACTCTGGGGAACTCCACTACCAACCTGGCTAGATTTTAGCAGCTTTGGTAGGTAGGTTGGTGTGCAGCAGGGAAACTGGTATACCAGCAACAGTCCCTTCTGATCCCTACACCTTCACAAATAAGACCTCACACCTGGCAATCTGTGGAGCACTTCTCCTGAAAACCAATAGTTTCTCATATTTCATGTGTGCCCCACTTGGTTTCTCATCACTTGGTGTTCAGCTCTTGATGGCTTGCTCCAGAATGGCTACAAGACTCGAAAGAAGATCATGCTGTGGAACATGTATCTTTAGCATGGTTGAGATAATTCATCTACAGACACAAACATGAATGCTACAGACATGATGCTTCAGTTACCTATGAACATGCATGTGGGAGGCTTAGTGTGGTGAGTGATATTGGCAAAAAAGAAATAATATATTGCCCAATCTTGAAACGCAGCAGCTGATTTTATCAACAGTAAAAATGAAAGCTAGCTTCCCTGTGACTTACTATTATAAAAAATGCACATCTAAGATGCAATCTAAGTTATCCAGATGAGTGAAACATTAGTGCTTTCTGTTGTTATTCTGTTAACATAATGAGGGCTTATGCAGACAGTAAATATGAGTTTTATAACTCTACCCCAAGATTCACTAATCCTGTAAAGTATAATGTAGTTCAGGCCTAAGATTTTAATGCATGTATTGGCAACCACCACCAGGCAGTGAGCTTGTGCTGTGGATCTTGCTGCCACTATGACTTCACTAGCTGCATTCTTTGTCTTGCCTTCTGAAGAGACCAAGCTTCAGAAATGATTTACAAGAATGTAGGTTCTGCACACTCAGTTGCACATTCCTCATTAGGAGAGAGATTAATTTATTGTAAATCTTAACAATTGCAGTGCCTAGAGATAGCAGAAAAATGATATTGTGAGCCTGAGCCACTCATCTCAGTTTTATAGATTTTAATTGCTTCCCTAATTACAGACATTGGTAAAAGTTTGTTAGCCATCTACTATGAATTTTCTATGTCTGCTAACATGATAGTTTGGTGCTGTTCCTATTGTTGTACTGGTGGAGAGGTAGAAAAGGAAGATTTTTCCTTGTCTTGGCACTTTGACCTGAGTCCCAGCCACTTTCCTGAAGGAGAGTTATGAAAAAAAATCCTTACCCAAAGAGCAGTGATTCTCCACTGGCAGAGAACAACCTGAAAGAAGTGCCACTCATAGGGTAGCAGGAAGCAGACTCTGCCAGTCAGGCCCCACCAGCCAGACGATGGTTCTTGTGGCTTACCATCAATGTTAAAGAACAGGGATTATCTTGATCCAACCCTTAATAACAACCAAGGGTATATTCCAACTTTAAAAGCCAGCTTATTTTCTTCCTTTTCTCTACACCATATATCTGAGGAGGGAGACTGCATTTTCTTTCTGGTTGTACTGTCCTTGTTGCTCTCTTGCATGGCAAGAAAAGAGAAACTAAAGTGCCTCTTGAGGATGTGCTCTTTCATTCCAACCAAAGAAGCTGCTCCACCATTCAAGCACAGTCAGGAAGGTTGTGCTGGGATTCAAGTTCATAAGGAGTTCCATGATAAATGGCTCCAGAAGATTGTCTCTTGCAAAGTCTTGAGATGTGAATCTTTGCGCTGAGCTCCTTAAGCATGTCAGTCAAATTATGAAGAAGGAAACATCATCTTTTCATGGAATGGCTAACTCACTAAGCAATGCCTTCACAACTTTCAGTGGGAGGTTCTTAATACTTTTTAGTCATTAGTTCTTAATACTTTTTAGACTAAAACCACTCTTTAGTCCAGTCAACTAAATATCAGTATCTGTAAATCTTACTGAAGAATAAATATATCCCAAAATAAGAGTGGCCTTGCTACATTTGTTGTCCTTTCATTCATCATGTGTATGTGAGTTCTTACATGTTCTTTAGGTATTCACATTTCCATTGGTATAGCATTGTACACCAGAAAGTCATTTTGCATATATAACGTATGTATGTATGTATGTTCAGTAGTTGTTGCCTGGACTAGAGTTCAGATTGTCTCCTCTCTCCCTCGAGTGCTATCAGCATTACCACCAACTTTAACAGCTCTTATGGGAATGGTAACAAAGAGAAAATTATCTCCATTGTGTTGTACCTGCTTGGTGCTATTGATGTCTTGTTATTCCATTCTAGACTTCAGTATAGTCTAGAAATATATCTGGGAAACAGTATGCCTCCATGGACCAGATTATGTATTTGTGTATTTATTACATTTATATCCTACTATAATCAAGTCCAATTCTCAGTGGTTTATAAGGTATATTAAAAAATGATTAAAATATTCACAGTAAACTCATTACAAACACCTACTCGATAAACCATGGCATAATCAAACATAATGGAACAACACATAACACAATCGTGCTGAATCATTATATTACAGTGACAGCTCATTCTAGAATGTAAATGCTTTACAAAAAGCTCAGTTTTAAAATTTTCCTAGATGCATCTAAAGAAAAGGGCAGTCGAATTTCCACTAGAAGACTGTTCCAAAGGTCAAAGCAGCTACTGAAAACAGTGACCTTTGGCTTCAACCCTCCTTTACGTCCCGGGGAACTATTAACTGTTCCTTCCAATATGACCATATACGTTGGGTTGATTCCAGTTGAAATAAGTGTTTCTGGAAATAACATGGTGCCAAGCCATACAGGGCTTTATAGGTCAAAACCAGCACTTTAAACTGTACTCAGAAGCCAGTGCAAGGCCTGAGACACAAGTGTGATATGATCTCAACAATAGGTGCTAGTTAGTATTCTGTAGCTTCTGAATGTTCTTTAAAAGCAGCGCCATGTAGCAGCATTGCAGTAATCTAACCAGATAGTAATG